GGTATGTCCATCAAAAATACACACAGGAAGGCTTGCAGCAGCTTTGAGTATAAAATCCCCAGAACTGGAAGTCCACGGATAAGAAACTATAGTATATCTGTACAGTAGAATATATAAAGCAATATAAAAATAAAACAGCCACATGAAATAATGCAGATGGATCTTACAAATACAAAAAAATAATGGGCAACATTACTCTATGATGAAAAAACTTAGAATAATGGCTGCCTCCAGAGTGGGTTACTGACTGGAAAGGGAAGGGGGAATCTTAGGGTGCCAGGAACCTCCTTCATCTCAGTCGGTATGGGGGCTTTGTAGGGCACCCATGTAAGAAGTCAGGACTCATGTACCCCATGCAAGTCACACTTCAATACACCTAACTAATGGGAATGCTCCCCCAGGCCCAGCCCTACTGACAAGAACCACGACTGATCTTCCATCTTAAAAGCAAGATGTTCCCTTTGGACTGACCGGCCTGCTCCCAACAGAAGGGCCAGCAGATACTTTTCCTGAAAAGTGCTTTCACAACAGATACCAAAATCCTTTTAAAATGTGCAAAATCTTACCCTTTATACTATTTTGATTATTTTATGCTAAAGAATAAATGAAAGATATACAAAAACTAAGCTTCAGAAACAATCACCACAGTATTAAGAGCAGAAAGAAAGAAACAAAGAAGGAGTGAGAGAGAGGGGGGGGGAGGGAAGAGAAAAGGGAAGGGGAAGGAAGGGAAGAAAAAAGGGCAATAAACTCAATGTAGATCCAAAGATTCATTAAAAATACCTTTCTAAAACTCAAACGGAAAATTTCACAATTTTCAAATTATTTAAAATCAGGTTACCCATCAATATGTAATCTAAGAAATATGAATTATGTATTCAGTATAACTGTGGTTATCTCTGGGTAAAGGAGAATCAAGAGGTTTTAAAATTTTTTAAATCATTTTTACCTTATTTTAAAAAATTAACTATACTATTACTTGATAAGAAATAATATAAAATCATAGTTCTTAAACATGAAGGCGAATTTGAGACTCTAGAACTGTTGGTTTGAGACATTCAAAGGTTTGAGGCCTCCTGACCTCACCTAAAGCCCCGCCTCCTGCTCCACAGCTCTAAATTCCAGCACCAGGATATACCTGAATTAAACAAGAAGTAGATAAAATTCTACGTTCTTATCTGCTGTTGTCCACCTGGGATACTGATTTTTAAAGTCATGTATAAAATTCATATATTTTAAAAGCACAAAACAGTATCCCCCAAGAAGTCAAAATCGATTCCATTTATCAATATGAACATAAATATTTTAGGCTGAAAAAAGTTCTAGTAAAAAAACAACAACAAAAAAAACCCACAAAAGCACTACCATTCCTGAATGGTAGAATCTGACTAGTCGAATGGAGATCACTAAACCAGGTAATCTCACCTCCTCCATACATACACACATGGACTAAAACATTATGTCTGTACTTCTCTGCTACAGAGTCTATGTGGACCTCAGGTGTGATAATGCATGAAAATGCTCTGGGAGATGAGAACTCACGTTTTATGTAAACATACATTGCCTGTACATTTCCTGCAGCATCACCAGCTCAGTTCCCCACCCACAATCTTGCTCCTAGGGAGTTTCCCAGGCAGCTCCCTCCTGAAGACCACATGGCCTGAAGTCCCTCTTGGCACCAGACCTGGCACAGAGCCAAGGCAGAGAGCGCTAGGAATCCTGGTATCTGAGCTCACCAACTCTTTAGAGCAGAGGGTGAACTCTAGCTCTTTAAAAAAGGTTTTTCTCCTTTTATTTCTTAGTGAGAAAGACTTTAAACCAACAACATATTCTAAAGACAAAACAATAAACAATGTTAAATTTTCAGGGCCACATGTTCCTCTCCACCTTTTCAAGGTCACGCCTTCCCACTGGATGATTACACAGCTGCTAGAAGGGTACATGGATTAAAAAAAAAAAAGAAAAAACATAAAGCCCTTTCTATGTGGTTCAACCTGTAATAGAAAGGACAAACAGCTCAGACCCCAGCCAGCTATGACAAAGTACCCGACAAAGCCAGAGACAAGAGCTCTCTAGCATCTGTGGATCCACCTGATTCCTTCTCTCCTCTGAGGGAAGAATCATAAGACTGCTCAGAGAAAGAAACCAGAGGGCAGAGGCCCAGAACACAGACAGCCCGAATTTCATGCTGCTTTCAAAAGTGAACTCACAGGTTGTGTTGGTTATTTGCACAATAGGCAGGCAGGCTGATGGCTGGAGGGGCTACTTTAGGGGGTTCTGCCTCTGGCCTGGTTAGAAGAACTCCCAGGTCCTGCCTCCCAGAAAGCATCTCAGCCCCCAAGATGACCCTTCAGCCACCCAGGGGTTAAGCCTGTAGGCCAGGCTGCAAGCTCAGTGTTTATATTTAAATCACCCCAAGGGGACCCACACCGCAAAGCAAAGCCAGAACCTGAGGGAGGTGAGAGGAGAGGCTGCTCTAGGAAGCTGAAAACAAAAACAGAGGGAAGGGCTGAGACTAGAACAGCTTGAAGAAGGTCAAGATTCTCACCCTTAACTACTGCTCTTAGGGCTGGCTCTGAATCTAGCTCTGCTGTATCCCTTCCCTCCCCCTCTCAGCTGAGCACCAAATGTCTCCCTACTGTATGCACTCTCCCCACTGCAGCTGAAATCATAATACCCCTCAGTGTCCACCTCCATTCTGCATGGGGCCCCTGCCAAAGTCTCCAGGCTTCAGAGGCCTTGGAACAGTAGTCAGTGTCTTCCTGACAGAAGAAACCCTACTCAACTCAAACTAGCACAGGAAATGTATGCTTACATAAATCAGTTACACACACACACACACACACACACACACACACACTCACCCTTATGTATTTGCACACCTGTTCTTAACATGAGCGTCAAGGCAAGAAGTCTCATAAACTAGAATCCTGGGCCTTCCTCAACTGGATTGCAGCAGCAACTGTAATCTCAATTACAAATGCTCTATATTGTGAAACCCGGTTAGAGACCAAAATGCCAACCTCTTACTTTCCTCCAATCCCTCTCTGCGCACTCAGATCTCAGAACAGTGAGATGTGTTGATAAACGGGCAACAAAGATGAGGGAGAGATCCAGGCTGCACTCTTACCAGTGAGGAGTGGATACTTGCTTGCTGGAGTGTCTCACATACTGTGTAGGGCTAAACCTGGCAGATTGAACCCCTCCTTTCTAGGGGTGCTGGGTGCAGCTCCTCATGGCTAATTAAACACATCCATCTCTCTCCACACTACTAGGCGCAAGGATTTTCCTTGACCAACCTGTACTTAGGCTTCTATTTTAAGCCCCCATAAATTACATTCCTTTGCTTCACGGAAATCTGAATTCAAGCTTAACAAGTTAACAGACTTGTCCTTCCACCCCACCCCACCCCACCGCAACTTTCCAACAAGTAGAGGGGATTGCAAAGAGGAAAGCCTAGATCTGGCTTTAACAGGCAAGATCCTACACAGACCAGGAAACAACACAAGAAAGGATGAACATAGCCACGGGTGCTTTTGCTTAAGAAATTCACTATGGCCCTCAGGTCCAGGTGAGGACTCAGTGGGCATCTGCAGGAGCAGAATTTGAATCTAAAGCCCAATGACACATGACATTGTGCTCCTGCCTTAAGCACTGCAGTAGATAGATTAAAGGGCTCTGCTGCAGAATTCCTCCCATTACAGCTTGCTAAGAGATATGAGGTTGTTTTAAATTTTATTTCAGTGTTCTCCCTTTTCACACCAGCACAACCATGATTCTTATTTACAAGTAGGCTGAATCCAGCACAGTTTCCCTATTCTTCCCCAAGACACAAGAGACTAGCTGTATTCTACCAAGGAGATTTATATCTCAAGGGCTCTAAAATCAAAACTGGACCCCAGATGTTCACAGCACATCTGCAAACCAGACTCTGGGCCAGTACAATTCTCAGAGCCAATATGGAAAACAGCTGTCCGTGGCAGAAAGCCCTTATTGGCACAATGGAAAATGTAGGGTGGTATGTAAGAGCCATTCAGGGTGAGGATTTTGAAACCCCCAAACTCTTAACCAGGCACCAGCCAGAGACCGGCCTGCCTTCCTATGTGCCCATTCCTGGCCAGATGAGCAATAATCAGAGAGCCACAGGAATAAAGCATGTGCCTGGTGTGTGCAAGACCTTGGGTTCCATCCTCAGCACCCAAATTAAGAAGAAAAAGGAGAGAGCAGCAGGAAAAGCAGCATCATGCCCAGGGAGGCCCCTCCCCATCCTCCTCAACCAGAGTTGCTCATGTGAACTTCCACTGATAAACGTGGTGTGTGGGAGAATGGGCAGCAGCACAGAGGACAACTGGGAGGGCGGGTCCCATAAAAGAGAGACTGTAGTTAAAAGAGGGCAGAGGCCCAGGCTTCTGTGATTAGTGAAGATGTTTAATCAAGCCAAAGCAGGCGCAGAACCTGGAGCAGCCGCAGCTGCCTTCCAGGTTTCCCAGGCTAGGCGACCCAGGCACCTAATTCTTATCAAGAGATTCCGAAAGGAGTCACAGGAACTTTCTCAAATCAACTGAAAGCTGAGATGAGTAAAGATGCCCTGGGGAGCCCAACGCAGGGTGGGTCGCTGGCCGAGCTCCAGCTGCTACGCCTCACCTGGGGGGGGGGGACCCGACCCCATCCAGCCCGAGTGGGGCCATCATCGAGAAAAATCATCTCCTCCCCACCGCCTGGCGTACACCACGTGCCTCAGCTGTGCCAAGCTTTCCGAATGCCCTCTACAGGAAAGCCTAACTTCCGCAGCCCACAGGTGTGACCCCAGCAAGGGAGGGAAAGCCCCTCCACGTCCCTGCCATTGAAAGCACTGGCCGGGGCCACCACTCATGAGAAGCCTGGTGCCCCGGGCATAGCCAGCCCCTCTCCCACTTTAAATCCCAACTCCCCGACCTCATCTGTCCACGGAGAGACACAGGCGTGGCTGCCCTGCACCAATAGCCCCTGTCGCTGCTCACCGCCGGTGTCCTCGAAGCGCGGCGGCGGGCGGTCCCGCAGAATGGCGCTCCACCCCGAGCTGGCCT